CTTAAGCCCGGGGAGTGGGCCTAAGCCAGCCGTGGGCAAACTACGGCCCGTGGGCCGAATCCTGCCCATTTGAAATGAATAAAACTAAAAAAAAAAAAAAAGACCGTACCCTTTTATGTAATGACGTTTACTTTGAATTTATATTAGTTCACACAAACACTCCATCCATGCTTTTGTTCCGGCCCTCCGGTCCAGTTTAAGAACCCATTGTGGCCCTCGAGTCAAAAAGTTTGCCCGCCCCTGGCCTAAGCCATCAGTCAGACATCCCCCGAGGACTCCCGGACTGCTAACGGGCACAGGCTGGGCTGAGGGGGACTCCCCCACCCCAAGTGCACAAATGTTGTGCATTGGGCCTCTAGTTCAATATAATAAAGACAGCAATTCTCACTAAATCTATAAATAACAGTTTAATGAAAAGTAATGACAGCATTATTTTGGTAACTGGACTGGCTAACTTTAAAGTTTATATGGGAAAATAAATATGTAAAATAATCTAAAAATTCTAATAAAAGCAATGAGCAAGAATTTTGAAATTTCTTTTTAATTTTTTTCAACTTCACAGGTAAAATAGACATACAATAAATTTAAAGTACACAATTTGAGGAGTTTTGACATATGTACACACTTGTTAAAACATCCACATTGAAGATTATTTACATCACCTCCCCAAATGTCCCTGTGGCTCCTTGTAATGCATTGCTCCATCCTTACTTTCCCTTATTGAACAGCATTTTGATAATTTTCAGTTATTACAAATAAAGTCACTATGAGCATCTGTATACAAGCCTTTGTGAGGGCAAAGGTTGTCCCTTCTCATGAGTAAATTCTAGGAGTGAAACAGGTGGGTCATATGGGAGATGCATGTTTAACTTAAAAAAATAAAAGTCCTTTGTCAATTTCTATCAACAAAGACTACTAAAATGTTAATTGGGTTTGCACTGATAGAACACTTTAGGGAGAAAATATTCAGTTGCCTAATCAATAACACCACTCTACCAAATTTTGTAAGATGTTATAAGGCCATAATAATTTTTAAAAAGCTGGCACTGGTGTATGAATACAGAAATATAAATCAATGAAATAGAACAGAGCCCAAGATAGACTCAAATATACAAGTCTCCCCCCCAGCTCCCAATCCACAGGGGATATGTTCCAAGGCCCCCAGTGGATGTCTGAATTTTTCCATTTAATATCTTGGGACTGTGGTTGACTGCAGGTAACTGAAACAGCAGAAAGAAAAACCACAGATAAGGGGGACTACTGTATATGGACAATACATTTACAGTAAGAGCTGCATTTAAATCTTTAGTGTATCAAGATTTGTAATAAATACCTGGAAAGACCTGAATGCCATCAACTGATAAATGACTGCATATTATTTGACTTGTACCGTAAGTTTATACTATTTTCGTAATTGGAAAAAATTAAAGCGAAAAGACAGAAATCAAGGACTAACCCGAAGTCATTCTCTTCCTCTTTTTCTTGTTCTGCTCCCTCTTCCTTTCAGTTAGGCTCTCCTCTTTTTCCTCTTCATCTTGGAGCTCCTGATTAGTTCCTGATTCTCCGCATTCACCTGGGACAGACTTCTTGTTTCCAAAAAAGTCCAGTCCCTGCAGCACCTCCGCAGAATCAAAGTCATATTTCCTTTTTCCTACCTAAAACCCAAAATATTGAAAGTGAACTCCACAGAATGGCATTCCTGTCACCCAAGCAGTATTAGCAGTAAGGGGATGGGTCCAATGACTCCCCTTCTTTTTTACACTTTCACCAAATATGTGTTGCACTGACAAATGTGTTTGGGCAAATGAGATCCAAGATGGTACCTTTTCTGACTTTAGATCAGTAATAATAATAACCAATAGCAACAAACACATATGCTTATCAGCATAACACTTTTATGCTGTTAGGCAGATTTCTAAACATATATATATATATATATATATATGAAATTACATTCTTCAACAACCCTATGAGGTAAACAGCAACATTACAAATGAGAAAATAGAGGCATTAGGTTAACTTGATTTGGACCCAAATAATATGGCTCCAGATTTCAAACTTTTTTTTCTTTTTTAAAATATATTTTATTGATTTTTTTACAGAGAGGAAGGGAGAGGGATAGAGAGTCAGAAACATCGATGAGAGAGAAACATCGATCAGCTGCCTCCTGCACACTCCCCACTGGGTATGTGCCCGCAACCAAGGTACATGCCCTTGACCGGAGTCGACCCTGGGACCCTTGAGTCCGCAGGCCGACGCTCTATCCGCTGAGCCAAACCGGTTAGGGCTTATTTTTATTATCTAAAGTTTTACATATGTCTCTTTTCCCCCAATTGACCCCCCCTCACCTAGATTTCAAACTCTTAATAACTACACTATACCGCCCGTCGGAGAAATAAGAAACACACATGCCGCGCACTCACACGAATGTCCCTAGTCCCAAATATCAAGATTTTCCACCACTGGGCCCCAACTACTCCCGATTTATCACTCACTACTGCCCTGTGTAAGGCTCCCGTTTCTAAATCTTCCTTCTCATCTGGCTCAGTCACTCGCTACGGGAGCGCGGCATTAAAAAGCAGCACGTCCACTAAGGCTCTCTGCCTGCCCAGCCAGCCCCGGGAGATTTATAACGAAAGCATCTGCGCTCTCCACTGGGAGCTGCTTCCGTTTTAGGATGGAAGTATACGGCCAAGCCCAACTAAATCTACAAAAAGAAAAGCGTTCACTTGGAAAGCGGGTCCTGATTAGGTACACTGAACGCCACGGGGGGGGGGGGGGCCCACAGCCTGGCCACGGGGTGTCCGAGAGCATGGCGCCCCCGCAGCCAGCTCACTCCGGGTTCCCGCTCCTTCCCGGTGACCCCGGCGTCCGTCCTCCCAGCACAGCACCTGGAACCGGGCTGCGTCCGCTGAGAAGCGCCTCACGTCGAACTTGGCCCCAGCACCGAGCCGGCGAAACAGATCATGTGCGTCCATCTTTACCCAGAAAGCTCTGCGGTCCCACAGCGCCTGCGCGGAGGGCCTCTCCCAGAAGGCCTTGGGCTAGACCTGGGTGGGCGTGGCCCTGGGGGCGGAGCCTGGCCGCGGCGAGCGACTTAGTAGTTGGCTTTCCTCTGGTAACGCTGTGTGTCCTGGGGTCCACCGTTATTCATTTGTTCTTTCAAAAAATACACTGAGTGGCCAGATTATTATGACCACCCCATCAGTACAATGAAGGGAATTACTTATGCAAATAATAATAATAATAAAACCTTGAGAGTATTTGCTTAAGAAGTTTTCAATATTCAGTATTTTTGGAAGTGTCAATGAAGTACTGATGGGGTGGTCATAATAATCTGGCCACTCAGTGTAGTTATAAGAGCCTCTTCTGCAGAACACTGATCTAGACTTGGAGGGATACTTTGGTGAACCACTTCAAGTTTCTCACTTCAGGAGGATCAGCATTTTAGTGGGAACAGAAGACATTGGTAACAAATAAGGAAGATCATTTCCGAAAGTGAGAAGTGCTATTGAAACAAATAAAGCCGTGTCATTGATAGAGAAAGGGAAGGGGAGCTGCTTTCAGGCCTGTTATTCAGGTTGGTAATGATGGGGTGATATTTGAGTGAAGGGGAGGCAGCCTTTCCCAGATCTGGGAAACAGCCTTCCCCATGGAGCAAACACAGGTGTGCAGAAGGGAAAGGTTGGGACACTGAGGCTATAGAAAGAAGGCCAGGGTGACTGGAGAAAAGTTGCCGCGAGGAAGTGTGGCTCTGATAAGGTTGGCGGGACAAATAGAAACCAGATCTCATGGAATCTTATAACACGGACAGAGTAAGGAATTTGGATTTTAATCTAAACAGGCTGGGAAACTTTCAAAATGTTTTGCTGAGAGGGCAACTCAGTAAAAGTCAGGTAGCAAGAGATTTAGCTTATTGAATTTAATTTTTTTTCATTGCATTTGGACTGTACAGAATTGTTTACTCATGCATTGCCTCTCCCCCTTCTAGAATGAAAGACCATAAGCACAGGGATCTAACATCCTTCGCTGCTGTATCCTCATCTCCAGTGTTCTCTCAGTAAATATTGATGAATGAATGAGCGAATGTTTTCGAAAAGATTACTCTGGCTATTTAGACAATGGACCATAGAAAGGGTAAGAATGGAAACAAGGAGGCCAATCAAAGTAGAAATTGTGATGTTGCTTTGGACGAGGGTGGTATCTCTGCTGATGAAGTTAAATGGGTAGATGTGAGATATATTTTGGAGGTAGAGCTAAATGCACCTAATGCATTTCATATGGAGATGAGGTAAAGAGAGCAAAATATCACTCCTAGGTTATTGGCTTGAAACCCTGGGTAGATGGCATGCCATTTACTGAGCTAGGACAGAATAAGGGAAAAACAACCTTTTTGAGAGGATGAGGTAGGGGCGTGGGGGAGTGTGGAACGATTGTTATGTTTTGGGTATGTCAAGATGCCTACTTGACTTTAAGTAGAGACATCCAAGTAGATAGTTGGATTCATGAGTCTGAAGCTCAAGGAAGAAGGTCAGGTCTGAAGAAACAAATTTAGGAGTCATCAACATATAAATGCTACAATGGAGTCACATCAAACAAGCACTTAACTTATTAAAATCGAATTATACATACCAGCTATATATAACATACTCCACTTGGGTAAGTTACTTATCTTCTCTAAATTTTAATTTTATCAATCTCATTTCAGCTTTGCTTCCTCTAAATATGGACCTTTGTACATATTTTTCTTTCTTCTTAGAATGTCCTCTTCTCATTTTTCTCCATGGCAAAATCCTTATATCCTTCAAAACTCAGTTTATATGTCCTCTCCTCTGCAACGCTTACCCTGAATGTCCCCTCCTTGACACAGCCCATCTTTTTTCCGTGATTTCTCCTGCCACTTTGTAAGTACCTCTATTTTAGCACTTTTCCTATTGCATTATATTTATGTTTCCACATCTGTTTTACACCAGACTTTGAGCTTTTTGAGGGGTGAGCCTATATCTCATTTATCTTCATATTATGTTTGCCTAGCACGGAATCTGTTTCATGTAGTAAGCAGTTAATAAATCTTGTGGAATTACTGAAGTGAAATGAAATAAACAAAAATCCCCGAAACTGCCAACCTTGTGGATTTAGGAAAGGATCTATGTCTTTTGCTTGGTACTTTGTAATAAATTTTGGCTGGATGAATGAAGTCAAATGGAAACGGTCAGACTTGTATCATTTCTTACCTTGATAATGTCCAGATGACTCATTAAGGGACCATTTCCTCTTCAGGACAAAACAAAACAAAACAATTAGAAACTATCGTCAATAAAAGAGGCAAGGAATTGAGTCACCGGTTTGTACAACTGGAATTTCTCCAAAAACCAGTATGGTCTGATTGGCAGACACACATGGTTTCTCAACTGTAGCAAGTGAGAACACAAAGTCTGTCTACCCCTATAGTGGGAGCTAGTTGGGAAATTTTGTTGCTGTGAACAGAGTGATCACTCCATACCCTCAAAGTATGTTTCTGAGAACCTTTCTCTCCTCCACTTCCTGCCCATCATTTAACAAACTCTGTTGTCGTGTACAGCATGCTTGGCATAAGCTGGGGCCTACGGATGCAGAGGGAGATTAGACACAGCCTTTGCTCGCAGGTAGCTTACAGTCTACTACGGACAGAGAGCTCTTTTTTCAAACGGAGCAAGAAAATTCTCTAGGCACTGTGGTATAAATTATAGGAGGTAAGGGATTAGTCACTCCGTGGTGGAAGGATGGGCTGGGCTTTGTGGAAAGTTAGGAACGATTTGTAGAGGAGAGACAGCGTGCACACCCTTAAACAATGAGATGTTGACAAATTAGACAAGACAGATAAAGCTGTTCTAAGTAAAGGGAGCAGTAGCAACATATGTAAGGAGGCATGAAAAAAAAAATCCTGTGGTGTTTGGGATCTACTAGTGATTCTGCAAAGCTGAAAGCAGATGATGCAGCAACAGGCAGAGCTGGACAGGTGGGTAAGGACTCCTCCCATAGACCTTATGGGTATACCAAAAAGTTTGATTCGATCTTGTAGGTACTAGGCGCCATTAAAGGATGTTAAGCCAGTGATAGAAACAGTTTTCAATGTAAAAAGATCACTTCAGCAGCAACATGGAAAGGAGGCAAGTCTGGAGTTAGGGAGACCAGAAGAATATTGTGTTAGGGTGGCCGAAGGAGGAACACACGAGGCCAAAAAGGGTGAAGAATTTAACATATTGTAGTAGTAGTCTAGTGAGGAAAGAAGGCAGTAGTAAAAGGGAAGAGGGGAAGGGAGCGGGGCATTGAGGTGGTAAAGTTGGTAGGACTCCCTTCGTGACTGACTGTAGGAAGACGGGGAAAGGGAGAAACCTAAAACAATTCCCACATCTCAAACTTAGGTGACTGGGTGAGGGTAGCTCTGTTGATGTAAATGGGGGAAACAGTGGGGCCTTGACTTACGAGTTTAATTCGTTCGGAGACCGAGCTCGTTAAGGAGCTCGTTAACTCAAATTACTCTATCAACTCGATGCAAAAAATCGGCCGAGAGACAGCTGGTATCTCAAAAAACTCGTTAGTCAGGACACTCGTAAGTCAAGGCCCCACTGTATTGGAGGGCTAGGTTTGCATGAGGACAATATAATAAGTTTAATTTTGAGTAAGTTGAGTTTGAGATTTTCTGTGGGACATTTGTGTGGAATTTGTAATGATCATTTGAAAATAGGAATTCTTTTTACTTTAAAAAGGGAGGTATCAAATTGTAGATCACAGCTTCAGGGCTAATTAAAATAAAGTGTGATTGGTTATAGATTTTTTAAAACCCAGCAGCCCTTCACACATAGACAAAAATCTCACTTTTCCTGGGGCTAAGTTTTTAATTTCAAATTCTCAAAATTCATTAATATTCCATCTAGTACTTTAGAAATCCAAATTCTTACATTTTGTTCATTGCAGCATTATTTACAGTAGCCAAGATATGGAAGCAACCCAAGTATCCATCAATAGACAAATGGATGAAAAAGTTGTGAGATATATATATCGCCTTACCGTTTGCCACAGCATGGATGGACCTAGAGGGTATTATGCTATGTGAAATATGTCAGACAGAGAAAGACAAATATCATATGATTTCACTTATATGTGGAATCTAAAGAATAAAATAAACCAACAAAATAGAAAAACTCATAGATACAGTAAACAGATTGATGGTTGCTAAAGGGGAGGGGGTTGGTGGCTGGGCAAAAAGATGAAGGGATTAAGAAGTACAACTTAGAGTTACAAAACAGTCACTGGGATGTAAAGTACAGCACAGGGTATATAGCCAATAATATTGTAATAATTACTTATGGTGCCAGGTAGGTACTGGAAATATCGAGGGGAATACTTTGTATAGTATATGATTATCTAACCACTATGCTGTAAACCAATAGAAAATAATATTGAATATAAACTGTAACTGAAAAATAAAATAAGACAAATTCTTATACTTTTGTGCATTTTTTTTTTGGCCATCAAGTGTCAATAGAGTACATTTTTCAGGCTTTAATGTAAGTATGATGCAAAGTAAATGTAACTACTCAGATATTCTTGTAATCAAGACTGATTTCAAGTAAATATTTTCAGAACCAAAGCTCACCTCATGGTGGCACTCGGGTATTGTCAGAATGAAGGGCTCTGCAATCATCTTACTAACCAGTGGACAGTTCACATTGAAGTAAAGAGTTAGTGTGAATTGTTGGTCCATAGACTCCACAATTAAACTCCGTGGGGAGAACTTACAGGGGAGGTTATGCTATGCTGCATTAAAAAAAATAGTTTTTTATTGATTTCAGAGAGGAAGGGAGAAGGAGAAAGAGATAAAAAAAAACACACATCAATTACGAGAGAGAATCATTGATAGGCTGCCTCCTGCCTACCCCCTCCCTACTAGAGATCAGCTCTCAACCCAGCATGTGCCCTGACCGGGAATCGAATGGTGACCTCCTGGTCCATTAGGTCTATGCT